AAAATATGAAAAATAATAATCCCGATCACAAAATTCAGGAATAAAAAAAAATATATTGTCTCGCCCAAACACATTACTTTTATTATACAGGTAAAAAGGCAATTCGCCCAAACGCAAACCGCCCGTTTTAGTTACCTATTTTTTGCGTMTATTTTAATACTGCATAATTTCAAAATATTACATATTTATATCGTATGACGCCTTCCCTATTACTAATTTTAATCCACTCAATCTATTTTGTTTACCATATTTATATAATATGAATATATTAATTTGTGAAAACTGTTAATGTTCATTGTACTATTGTAGGTATGTTTTTATAACTTTCCATACAATATAAATATAATATCACTAATAGTAAAATAATTTTTCCATAATAGCAATATAATTATATAATAAATTATCCCAGGTACTATGTAAGTACTAAGTAGTTTATATTAAAGTCTGACAATCCATCTCCGCTCAAAATTGTTTTTTTTGTATGCAACGATTTATCATTGAATTTAAATTTAACACATCCATTGCAGAGTGTCCCACACGAAAACAGTGAGGTACTATCGACCTTACTGTAAAGCCGAGTGGCCATACATATTTTTTTCCACTTTTATAATACTTAATAATGATTTCTACATTGACTGTATCATATTTATAACTTGAGTGATTAAACTATATAAGTAATAATATATTAATATATTATATTTTATTGATACATTATAGCGTATTAAACGTCGATTTTAAAAATAATATGATAGTAATATCCTTTTAAGTTTTAATTTTTTTTTTCAGTGTATTTTCATAATATTTAGTAGTATATTCTAAAGTAATTAAAATTTTAAACTACATTCGTAGGTAATTGTTTATTTTATTAGTCCTGGTCGCTAAAATCTTCAACAAATCTTTTAACTACTCAATAAGATAAAACATTTTAATATTTTCTTATTTTTACATACCTATAGTGACAAACAATAGTATTTAATCTACAATAACTTGATACAATACATTATTTTAACTAAACAGAAAACGCATATAAGCTTAAAGGCCAAATAAATGCATTCTAGTATCACTCAGTGGATGTTATTTTATTTCTTTGTTACTTTCTTGGGTATAAGATAAGGTAAAATTTATAAGTAGGGCATTGAAATGAATAAATTAATTTTATTTTCATTCCAACTATTTTTAAATTAAAATACAGGGGGGAAAGCAGAATGATCATTCATGTAATTTCCCACAATATATCATATAAATTATTTATGAACTGTGTTTGTTAAGATTGCAGAACAGTATATAAATGTCGGTCGCCATTGTTGATATATTCCAGTTGACTTGAAAAAATATGTTTTATAAAATTTTGTTGACTATAATAGTATCTGTTTTGTATTTCTTAAATATTTTAAGGTTCTATTCGTGTTTTAATAATTCAGTGCAACTTTACAGAATGGTAATCCACACAGTTACTTAATCAGGAGTATTGTTTTTGAATGTACTGAATAATAGTGAATATTACTCGCACAATGTGATTTTTTTTTGTTAATATCCAGTACACACGACATTTTACTCACCATAATTACTGCATATTTCTTTAATTTCCGGAGAGAAATAATGAAATTGAAGTAAACGTATAAATTTCAAATAATATTTAATAAAATTATTATAATTTATAGGCATGTATAATTATACTAATTTAAAATTGTATCTATAATAATACTTATATTTTATAAATAATACATTTTTTTATGTAAATAATATAAAAAAATTGTAACCCAATGGCCTAGCTATGTCGCCGATGATGGTAGATTTATGTTACTAAAATAAAAAAATAAAACTTATATTTTTTGTAAATTATAAACATATACATGTTTTATTCGGCTATTATGATGTATTTGTATTTATACTTTTGGTATTTTAAATTTAAATATTGAATTTCTTTTTCTTTTTTAATAACTCAAGTTACCTACTTACCTATGTATTATGTTCTTGTAGTTTTGCAAACGSGCAAGTAACTTAAGTCGATTATTGTAAATGGTTATTGATTTTAGTAATAAATGCTATTTAAGATAAATTTTTTATTTGTTTAATGAGTAATGACCATTAAATTTAGGAACGAATAATTAACCTGTAACTGTAAGTCAACTCATTAAATCTACACGAATATATTCAATAAAATCATGAGGAGTTTCTATACTTACTTATAACAAATAGTTGTATAAAATAAATTATAATATATTATTTTAATAGGTATTTAAATTAATACAACACACTTGATCACTTGGAGTGAAAGTCAATATTATGACCAACATTTAAAAAAAAATAATATCGGTTACAATTGGTATAATTAATGTTAAAAAGATGTCAACGCAATATTTGTTTCATAGAAAAAACAATTATTCATGTTAAATCTTTTTTATTTTATGATTTTAGAGTTATCTTAGAGTAAAATCGCCTATAGTTTAAATAATTACAGAGAATAGTCTTTTTGAAATTTTTGCATATAGGTTTCATATTTAGTTATTATTTGCTATAAACAAAAATTGTATACATTTATAAAGTTAAATTGTTTTGAGACAATGTTTAAACAAATTGATAATTAATCCTTCTAACATACTCTTAGTCATTTATGGCTGATTTTATTCTAAATCTAATTAAAAAAAAAGAATAATAATAATTTGCGTAGATTCGTCTTGTCGATGTTGAGCATTGGCCAAAGAGAAAGAGAGAAAAACTAACATTATGCTAACATTTTAATTCAAATCTAATCATTTAATTTCCTGTAAATTCAAAGCACACCAATTTTTGCAGTTTTTATGCATCAACAAATATTCAATTGATAATAAAAATAGATGAAATGACGTATTTGGTATAAAAATTGCATAAATTGTATAATAAATTGAAGCATTAATAGAACGTTCATAAACTATTAAAATATGAAAGCTCAATCAATATATTAGGTATAGTATGCGCACAAGATACCTGATGATAACGACGTGTTAAGAATATTTGAAATAAATTATTTGAAACGTTTTCCAATCAACACAATCTAATACTAATATAAAAATAACAAATATTTACACTTTAATTTAAATTGTAATACCCTGTGTTTTAAATTCAATATTTTATTTTTAAATCTAATATGTACAAAATTAGGACAAACGTGTAACATTTTAAATTAAAATGTAAAATACAAGTTTGTGCGAAAAAAGAACAACAACAATTACATAAATACACTCAATATTTTTTACCTCAGCTAAGTTGAAATAAATCAAAATTAAATTAAATATTCATTAAACAGCGTTAAATGTGTTGCAAGATAAATCAAATCAAATAATATTCGTTATTATTATATAGAGTTCTTCGATTAATCAGATTTCAACTTCGTTAGCAGTTCCATTATTTAAAGATTAATCGCWTCAAACTTATAAGTACGAGTAAGTGTTTAGGTAAAATAAAATGAATTTGTTTTTTTTACCTAATATTTCATCATATAATATTAATAACTCGATGAATTGACGTCACACGTGAACCTATTGCAATAAGTTGATGTGTGATTAATTAACTTGATACCTTCCTTGTAACTATGTATTTTAGTGTACAAAAAATGACGATGTGTAGGTGTTATTATTTAACACATAACAAATTTGCATATTTGTAGAAACTAATTATTGTTTGGTTTAAAATATTTATAAAATACTTAATAAATGTATATAATTTTTAGTGTATCGAGTTTTACGTAAAACTTGTAATATACATTCGTAAAATAGTTAAAATAAATAAATAAAATATAGGTGTACATTTTTGTTTCTTCTTCTATAATTTTCACAATATATTATATTATTTGTATAATATATATTCGGTACTGAAAAATGTATGGATCTCGACTGAGTGGAAATCAATGTAGGACGTAGGTACATAACTTATTCAGTATTTTATAAAAAATGATTCCTGCAAAATATCTCATCCCATCTTATTGTTCCAATTTTCCAATCCTAAATATTTATCATGTGTATTCCCTTATCCTTTATTTTATATCCACTGATCTCCGCCTGTAGTCATAGTTTCAAATAATATACAAAAATATACAGCCACGCAATTAATAGGTGAAAAGTCAATTTTATAGCGAACATGAAGACATTTTTTTACTGTGTATAATCGAATGTAATAAAAATATTTATTACGTTTACCATCTAGTAAATTCATGTCGGTTACAGTTGAGTACAGCCATCCCCTCTTCCGATATTTTAACATTTATATCGTATCTTTCAACACTTCTCGGGACGGTTATGTAAACATTATATTAGGGTGTTATCCGGCTCGGTAATTGTTTACTTTAAGACATAAATACACTATTATATTTTATGTGACAAAAAATAATAATAATAAAACTACACGATGTAATAATAGATGTGAAATTAAAGTCTCTTCTAAACATCAGTAATTACTTGCRAATTATATGAGCATTATATATTATATAGTTATATAGACATTTAAAATCACGTCAGGTAATGGTTTGGAAATGGGAATCACGTGCAGTGCTTAGATTAGACGGCGATGACAAACAGACCCATTAATGTTCAAACCTATTAAACTTGTATTATTATTCAAAAACATTAGAGTTACAACTTATAATTAAGATTCTGAACGGAGCGATAAATGTATTGTTTTTTTCAATATAATGTTTATATCTTGGTGTGGCCCTTTATACTAAGACCTTCTCAAAATTTTAGAATTTTTCTTTCAAATATTTCTTACTTAACTCATTTTATTTCACTACGACGMCATGTTATTTCCTATCCGTATAACACCGCTGGTTATGTCATTATGTACATATGGACTTTTARGTTTGTTGATATAGCTTAATTTAATGTGGCAGTTTTTGATTCTATTTTTATTTTTTGTTATTAATTTGTTTAAGCACATAGGTAATCGTAATTATATTATTACAATATTATATTGAAAATCGTAAATTTTACCTGGTATATAATTGTCAAATTTTTTTATGACGACAGGCGCGAGATCACAGCTCTGCAAGCCGAAAACTACAGCTTGGAACGACAGTTGTTCAGCTACCAGAAAAGTATGTCACTCGTGCAGAGCCGGGGTACCACGTACTCGGACGATCTGGATCCGGTGGACGTCGTTGACGGCGGCTGTGTCCCGGTGGACGATCGCGAAGATCAGCCACATCATCAGCATCAGGGCAGCGTGGGTGGTGGCGGTGTTTTCTACGACGACGGCACACCCCTACAGCTGCAGTCCACGGTCGTTGTCGGCCCAGACGGCTACCCGCTGCCCCAACACCACCAACACCACCATCAACAGCCGCTCCCGTCGCACCATCAACTGCATCATCATCATCCGCTGCCGCAGCAGCACCATCACCACCACCCATGAGGTCGGCTGCCGTTCCACGAGACCGACGACGGCCACCGTCATGTGCCGCACTATCGGCACTCGGACGGCGGCGGTGGCCCGGCCACGTGGACGTCGATGGCCAGTAACGCGGTCACAACAGTGTTCAAAAAAGCCCAAAGACGTTTCAGCGTCATCCTCTACAACAACAACAATCCCATGTGAAAGTGCCAAAAAACGTACCATAACAATTTAATATCCGCTCGTATGATTTTAACTCAATACTTTTGATAATAATAATATTATTAGCCAGGTAGGTTTGTTTCCCCAACATGATAATATTACTCTTGTTACAGTTTATAATTTACTTCATTTTAAGCATTTGTCGAGTAGGCGCATTCAAATATTTTATTATATGTATTATATATTATTACGTATACCATGTATAGAATGAGTGAGCGGTAGAGAAATAGAGAGAGAGAGAGAGAGAGAGAGAGAGAGTGAGTGAGAGAGAGGAGGGATGACTAAAGAAACTTCCCTAAAACTTTCCCGCTCGCCAAACTTCAACCGAAAAAAATATAGGTACCTATAATTACCACATATTTCGAACAACTAATAAAAAAATAGCTTAACGAATATATATATATATATGTTGTTTGACACTACGTCTGTTGTATATAATATGTATATTATTATAATAATACTTATCGCAAAAATCCGACGACTTTCGTCACGCATAATGTTATAATATAGTCACATATATTAGGCGTATATTATGCATATTACGCAGGTAAAAATATACTCCTTATAGGTATAAGTGGTATAATAATAATAACCAACGTAGTGAAATAGTGCTTAAATATTGAAAAAAAATAAGGAAAATATCGTGGAGCAGAAAAATGTATGAAACACGTATTTGAATTTCATGTAAAATACCAAAACCTAATTTTTTTTTAATTACCCTAATTTTCAACAGACTTGTTAATGTACATACAAATTTAATACTGATTATTCATCCGATTCCTCGGATCAATATCTATAATTTTGTTGTTTATCTTCCACGCCTGAATACACCAAAAATGTAGAAAACACCAATTGCTATTATTCAGCTCCTACTGAATAATAAGGTAAATGCAATCAAGACTACTTCTTTCAAAATACAAATTATTTTTAAAACTTCAATATAGTATAACATCATTAAAATATTGCTGTATTAAATGTAAATATTTATTATTTTGTTATAAAATTTTTAAATTTATATGGCCTGTAACAATTTAAGTCTTCTAATCATTTCATACTCCCAAATGTATTTTCATTTTATGGCTCGAAAGACAATCGATTATCGTTCAGTATTATAAATTTTGTCATAGAACATTATCATTGTTCACTTGAAGTTATTTTTTATTTAAAATTACAATTATTGAATTACATTATGTTGGCRTTGCATAAACGATACTGTAGTTAATCATAAATTTTACCATATTATCTAAGTATAAAATCTCTTCGAACCAAAATTATAATACAATTTCAGTACCACCAAAGTGAATAGTAATCTGATTATTAAATAATATTAAATTACTGAAATCTATAAAAATWAGAACCCATTGTAATGATGATTATTGTGTCTAGGATTGAAATGGCAGTCGGCATCTATATCAATATTTTATCTTAATCCTTTTTCAAAAGAGAAAAATAAAAAATAAATGCGCAAAATGACTTTTTTCCCATCGAATAAAATATTTATTTCATGAATTTTRGATTTTATAATTTACTCATTCGCTGATTTATAGTTAAATTATAGTTATCTTCTCTCATTTTTATATCAAAGAACTGATGTTCAACATGATATTATTAATCAATAAATCAAGCATTACTATGATTTGTATAACTTTAAATTGAATTATACCTTCATTAATATAAATTAAGTCTATGAATTGAAACTAAGTCTATGTAGATTGAATTTGAAAATCATCAAACATWTCGTCTTAAATTGTCTTTTTGTATCATTAATTTTAAATTATCAGGTTAGAATAGATCTCGTTTTGGAATGAAGTAAACACTAAAATTGTATGAATAAGGATATGTTCATAGTTATATAAGTACTATATAATTTTAGATTAGCATAATTGTTTAAAACATACAATTTACATTTTKACTCCGATAAGTGATGTTGAATATTCCGTCAAGATTAAAATATCACAGTTGACCACATTAGAAATACATTTGCATWAGTCACTTAATTGTATGTACTTATACGATAAATTTTAAATCGTCATGTTTTCAATTATTTTCCAACATAAGAAACATTTTAATAATAATATTGTACATGCTGTATTCAACAATTCAACTGTAGTTTTTTTTTAAATACCTATAGGTAAGTGCTCGTACCAAATTCTGACTGAAAGTTCCGGTCAGTTTTTATATCCTTTCATTTGCAGTTTATGTGGATTTTTCATTTTTAGTTTTTCATTCATAAATTATAATTTATATTCACGTTTCTTTGGAACATCTGATTTTATTTATTTATTGTGATGCAAATGATATTAATATTTTTAAATAACGTGCGTACAGATCAATTACGTGATATATTATATTAAAATTCTATATCATCATATTGATTCAGTGGAAGATAAAGGAATAGATAATATATTATGGATCATTCAACTTATCACGATGGCCATATATTACACAGTCAGTGAAAAAACAAATCCATCCATAAACCATTTATTTTGAACCTTTCGGAAAATCATTTTGTATTGGTTAAAAACTAAAATAACCTGTGTTCTTAATTTTTAATTGATAAGTTATCGTATACCACGAAAATAATAATAAAATTTCATTTGATATTAAGAAAAGAAGTAAAAATAAAACGTAGTTATACACTATGTCTGGTATATATAGGAACGAGCCAACTTAAGACGGGGTTTTCTATACAATTTAATATATTCTTTACACGATTTGATGCTGAACTTACAGACCAAACGTAGTGAATATTTTGTAAATCATTGATATACTCGTACATAATGAACGAGAAGTATAAAATATGTACAATGGGACAATTTTTTCCTCAGAAATACAACTCTATCATTTTTTTTTTCGTTTTATTATTCATAATCTAAAATTCTAATAAGTCACAGTCTATTATGAATATCGTAAATGATATTTTTAATATAATTTAGTCATTATTACTTTCAAATGTTTTCTGGCAGTGTTGGTAAGTAAAAACAATTTGTGCTATAAAAAATATACAATACACCTCAGCATTTTACAAATAATAAATAAAAAACATTAAATAGTATTTTAATACAAAAATTAAAAATTATGTTCTATCTGTCTAAAAGCGTATTTTTCTGTTTGGAATGTAGGTGACAATAGTTGATTTATCCGAGTCACTGAAAACATTAATTTTAAAATTTAGAAGCTGACAACAAAACCTTTTGTCATACGTACCTATGTGTTTATTAATTTTACTTCCGGTATTTTTGGAATGTTCAAGTGTATTATGTTTTGCATTGAACCTTTTGTGGTTCTAGTTTTACGAATACTTTTAAAATTTAATACGAAACTGAATTTCATATGGGATTAATGTGGTTAACCTCATAAAACCATACAGTAGTTTTCAAAATTAAATTGTTATGGTGATGATTTAGAAGCTTTAGATAGTAAACAAAACTACAAAACACATTCTTCTTAAAACTATTATAATATAATCAAGTATTGTATTGCCGTTAATTGTATTTATTATATTATTTTCTGAACTAAATTTTATTCCGTTACAAGGACCTAATGTTATTGGATTTTTAGATTACAATTATACTTAATAATGTTTAGCACACGCAGGGGTCTCTGTATCTCTGTATTTCGTGACGGTCAGTACACGGACCCTCGTGTTCACTAAAATGAGCACGAAAAATTTAAGCGAAAATTCTAAAAAAAATATTTAGTACACGTTTGCGGAAAATATTTTGAAGGTTTCCGAATACGTATATATTATAAAATTATATAATAAGTATACGTACGGTAATCATAAACCTACTCGAAAAGTTTTTTTTTATGTATTCGGGACACGTATCATGCATTCAAACGCCCAAAACTACAATGGTAGGGTTTTGACTTGAATTTTCTATGGTTTTTCCCCTATTTTTGATCTAGTGTACCAAAAGAGTTAAGACACGTGTCGTCACCGTCACCATTTGACTTTACAACGATTCCATTAATCTCGTGACATACAAGAGAATATTTTTCGTCCGTTTTTTAGTTTTATTTTTTCATTTTATTTTATTTTTTACTAACATTTCGTCTTCTCAAGATCTCGTCGTGATTTCTTGTATTATTATAATGTCAGTGCATTATTAGAAATTTATTTACTGGCATATCTTATACTAGTAATTGGTATATAATATATAATATACATTATACATATACCTAATATACGATATAGAGTCACATCGTTTTATACTATGATCGATTCATACGAAAACGCATAATATCATTGTTGTATGAACGACGTTTAGATTACATTTATTTTTTCTAACGCTTTTAAGAAATTTTTAACTATATTTACTATTTGAAACTGTAAAGATTGTTCTTTTTTTAATAATTCGGTGAATTATTTATTTTTATCCGTATTTAGGACGGTGTATACCTAGTACCTACAAATAGTATGTCATATTAATAAATTATTGAATTTACTTATCTATATTATGCTACTATGCATTAGAGAGAAGGTAGTTATACGAATTGTTTATTCAGAAACGCTACAGACATATTTCTACCGCATCTCACCAATGTCATATTTTTTTAGGTATACACATAATATGCATTATTTTATCTAATATATTCAGTATATGAAATATATTTTTATTATATGTATGCAAAATATAAAATTACAAAAACTAAAAACATGTAACACCATAARCACCCTGTGTGTGAAAGGAAACTGTAGACACCTACTTTAACATTGTACGAGAACATTTTCGATAGATGCTATTTACATTTTTAAATATTGAGCTAAGCGTCCTGCGATATGGGTATACTTTTAGTGTTTATAGTATTGGCTGCTTGTGATAATTTATTAACATATTATTAAGTAGCTGCATGAACTGTTTGCTACGCTCTTAAAAAGCACAGCAGACGACCGACAAATTACTATTATAATATTGTAATATAGTAATAACTGATTTTGTTTATAAAAAACTGTTTTTTTTTTTAACTTAATGTATTATATTATATTCTTATAAATAGTTTTATTTCAATAATATTGTAGGTACATTTTTATATTTAACACAGGACGTACACGCCATCTATATAATGCGAAAAGTGTTTTCTCCCACCAATATATATTTTGTGTCTCACATTTGTCGACGGGTCCTACAATCGAATATCCTTAAAATTCTGTTTGGTTTATCCAAGGAAGTTTTTTAGGATATAATTCCGGTCGAGCAGACATATGCGGGTGGTATCTCGAAAAAAATCAATGGGTAGAAAAACTTTTCGTGAACGTTCTTTCTGTTCCTTACAATATCCCATATATTTCACATTTACGGCGAATTTCTCAATGCTACGCCTGGCATGAATTTATATAGAATATTAATATAAAAATAAACTTATTTTTTTATAACGCTACTCTTGTACTTTCTACGTAGACGTATGTGTGTAAATCTAAGCTATAAACGTTAAGTGATCCTTAAAAGCCGCACTATTCGATTATACAATAATATATATATTTGTATGTATGTAATATAATATAACAATGTGTATTATGTATGTTTACATATATGTATATTACCATCAGCATTTTGACCACTATTTATCTGTCAATTAAAACAATTTTTAAAATAATGATTCTTACTTATAAGTACTTATTGTGATATCGATTTGTTTCTATTTATATTTTATAATCATATTATAACGTACACTATAGGTGTACGCATTTATGAATATTATTATTATTATACGCCATATAAGAATATTATGTGACGACCCATTTATTATAAACGACGACTCTAAAAATAAATTACACATTGAAATCAACACGTCCGCACCGATTTAGTCCTCCAGACCACCGGATTTTCATTTGACAATCGTCGCGTTTGACACATCCGTTTCGTGAGTGTCAACTGTCTAGTTAATAATATAATGTTCTACGATATAGACGTGCTTTATTCAGTAGTTTCTCAATTCAACTGCCACCGATAACTTTACAGAACCATTCTCGTTAGTCGTATCTACCTATACAAGATATTTTCCATACAGGAAATGCGCTAGGTATAGTACCTACCCTCTTACCAACCAATATAGTTTTGAACGAATAAATATCACTTGGAAATTAATAACCTCTCGACTATACAGATATATAACGCACGTAACCTAACAATGATGATATTATTTTATGTTGGTGATTACTAAGTGAGGTTCAAATTCAACTGACCCAACGACGACCGATGTCAACATTGACGATGTTTTTGTAATTCCTTTCGTTCGGGGACTACATCCGGTGTTACACATTGATTACATTACAATATTATTATTATTATTATTATTATGTTAATAATATTATGTTTATATTACACGATACACTTTACTGATTGATCAATATTCTTAACACAAACTTAAATTGTTCTAATTTTTATTATTATCGTTAAACATTTTAATTAAACGAAAATAATGTACTATTATTATCTAAAATAAACCAAAAATAGTCTGTTTGCTATTGTATATTCTTTTCAAATGGCCTTTTTCTTCAGCAAGATGCTAAAAACAATTTAACATAGGTACTAAATTGGTATAAGGCATTTATAATGATACTCTACACGCACGACTAAATCGCAAAATAAGTAGGTACACGCTCGATTTGCGAATTTCATGATGTGTATTTGAATTAAACTGACAAAGGTAAGTTAAATCATGTTTATACGTACCTAAAGATCCAGAAGTAAATAACAAAATAACATATTCCATTTACAATTTTTACCCACATGAATAGGTTTTTYTTCGTAGCAATGTAAAACGTTTTACTTATGGCCTGTGGTATGTATAAAATACATGCTGCTATGGTAAAAAACAAATTATGTTTTCGTTTTTATTTCATTATATTTTTACTATATTTGTATCTTTTTCGTTTACAAACACTCACAAATATTAAATCTAGAAATCCATATTTATGGGGAAAAAGGACAGMAAAAAGAGTAATTTATTATAATATATAAATACATTAATAACATTCTGAATAGTGCGAGTAAAATTATTACTTTCAAAATAGTTTGTTTATTTGTTTTTCAAGGACTTAAAAAAAAAAAAAATTGTTGAGTCTTATGTTAATAATTACACAACTATATTCTGAACAAAATGACTAGTAAAAATTTACTTGAACATTTTTCTTTTTAAATTGTCTATCATATTTTTTATGAACTCTTTTTTTAGTATACAAATTTCACAAGGTTTGGGTAACATTGTTGATATGGTATTTTCAAGATGTCAATTTTCTCAATTTAAATTCTTTAACCTTATATACATACAAGATACAAGATACAACTATATAACACACTACAACGGCACTAAAAATATTTAAATAAATGTCATTCAGAACATATTTTAAATGTGATAAACCTCACCTAACCCGTTTATCTTTTGTTTTTTTTTTTATTAATAGCTCTAAAGTGACAACTAATACAGCTCAATAAACCCGTTTATCCTGATCATAAAGTATTCAAATAAAATAAATATAACTACCTATCTTGATTTAAAACAAAATATTTTTAACTAATTTTTTTGGCTCTACTAATTATTGTATATGATACTTGTTTTGAAAAATTTTAGTACTTCGATGTCTTCTGATGACGTTAACACAATTTTGAAAAAAATAAGCTAGTTGAAAATATTATTACTAATTATTTATACTTATCTATTTACTCATTATAATAACAAAAAAAAACATAAACCTCATAAATCGAAAGATCAAACTACAACTCCAGTATTTCTGAATATTATTAATCGAGTACAAATTGTTATACTTTCAAATCAATAATCCAATTTACCATGGTCATAGAAACAGGTGATATGGGGAATAGATTGAATATTTATTATTGTTTTCTATACATAATACAATTTTCAAAATATTTCCTCTCTTTTTGAGATATTTAAAGGCATAAGAAAATTTTGATTTTTATGAGTTTTTTTTTTTTAGTCCATCAGATGTCTTTCACTCTGTCAAAAAAATTTATAAAATTTAATCAGCGTTTCTCATAAGTAGTTGTTAGTTAAAATTTAAAAAAAAATTGAACGTATTTTTATGAGCGTCTGAACCTGAAGTTAACATTTTGACAACACTTGTCAAAATCACGAAATTTGCTAACTATCTTGAGTTAGAAATGTTTTATTTATATCTAAATTTATAAAATTGAATACAAGATTCTTTTAAGTTTTTCTAACTTTAAACAAAAAGAGTTTACTGTTAACTCAAATAAATTTTTATGAGCATTTTAAGTATAGTACATACAGGCGCGTAGCCAGGGAGGTGTTACAGGTGTAATAACACCCCCCCCCCTCAGCCGTGGTATACTTAATATTTTTWTATCAAGATAAAGATGCATCATAAGCACGAATTATCTTAAATCGTGATTTACACTTATTTATCAAAATGAAGTATATTAGTTTATATTACGATAACAATAATGTAAAGCACTAAAGCCGGGATCCGGCATTAATTACTATTTTAGACCGTTYTGTKACGTTTTATCGATTACTCGTTTCATGCACGATTTAATATATCTTTTTATGCAGCGTGTAAGAAAACGTTTACAACTTCTTAATTATTGATTATTTGATTATCATGATGAACTATCGTATACCTACGTAAAGTTATCAATTTTGTGTTTATAATTTTTTCAATTAATTTTTAATAACACCCCCCCCCCTAGAAATTTCTAGCTACGCGCCTGAGTACATATGTAGTGCACCCATAAATTAACAAAATCTGATTGAACGATTTTCTTATTTAGTTGTACTTTATTATTTTTTTATTTTAGTTTCTACTATATGAAAAATAAAAATATATCAAAAATATATAATTTCATGCAGTTTTATAGATACTTGAGCGAGAAAATATAATGTAAGTTTCTTGTATGAATACAATTAAGAGATTTCTTTGTACATCTATACAGAATAATTTTATCATAACTACATAATCTGATAAATTTACATCACTTTTTATCTAAAATAAAAAATAAAAAATATTTATTTGATATTGTTTGATAATTAATAATAATAAAGGAGATCCAATTTGATAAATGATAACTGATAAAATTATAAGTTATTAGTAATAGAATGAATGCATTATCAATGGAACTCCTGAATTTATTACGGCTTTAAACTTTGGTAAAATATTCATCATCACAGTTTGCTTTATATGGAAGCACTCATCAATACTAATCAATTATACAGAACATCGTGTATAAAAATAATGATATATTTTTCATAATATTATTCCATTGATATATTTTATRAAGAGTTTTCCTTATAATACATATTATACATTACATATTATATAATTTCTTGTTTTTGTGTATTAGAATAATTGACACTAGTAGTTATTGGTATAATTTTTTTATGTGTTACCAAATTAGAACGACGATGTGTTATAGCCGAATGATTTATTAAACTCCTCTAATTGAATCTAGATGTTCATTTTTTCATTCGCACAGACTTATGGTTAGTTCTGACCTCATACCAAAGTTTATACACCAGCCAAACTATAGCATTCATTATACTGTTTATAGTTTCCTGTAGGTTGGTCATCTTGCCCCAATCGTAATATTGTTGTAGATACGTGTATACATTTTCAAATGCTATGAGTCATCACATCATTGCTTTCAACTGTATGATAAACAAATTAATAATTGTAAGATAACACTGTTATATGGTTAGATACCAATCCATTTTTTACAAGCTCTATTACTCTACATCGAAATAATTGTTATTTTATTTTTTCTACTTTAATTACACTAATCATATAATTATGATATAAAAATATAGAGTTTTGAAAATAGATTAGCAGAATAATTAAAGATAATAATAATGATTAATTCAATAATTTAATAATCCTACTCTAATACCTAACTAGTTACTATATGTATTCTAAAATATAAGACAAAAATTAATGTTTATTGTGTACTATTTATGCATTGTTATAGCTCATTAAATTTTAATTAAAGATTGAAGCATCAAATATAAATATTATGTTAATTTCCGTTGCTTGCCAGTCGACATCAAATATCGGAATATCGTCAATGTCTATAGCACAACATCCAACCAATAGAATATTACTTTTATTTAAATATTTTTTAATCTTTGTCAATTTTCTTTTATGTTTTTAATATAATAATATATGTCAATTGGCGATTGTACAACAGCAATAATCAAATAAGTATTATCATAACCCTCCTTGCAATTTTTTGGTTAACAAAATTGTATAGGTAATATCAATAAATCACAAAACTAGACAATATGAAGACATTATGCATTAACTGCTGGTAAAAAAATCCGAAATCGATACAGCTTATACCACTTAGCACTTTATCCAGGTAAATGTTTGATATCATTATACTATTAATTTAATAAAAATATTTTTTCACCCAATGGCCACGGGTTAATTAATAAAACATATATATATATTATTTAACAATAACAATCTGGTTCGTGTGATTATTGCCAATAATGCAATAAGAAATTTAATTAAATAAATCATAATCCTTTTCAATTAAAATGTTGACTTTTAAATACTATGAATCAAATATCAATTTTATTAGTGAATAAAATAAATTATTATTATCAAATTAAAGAAATTTAATAATGTAAAACTATAGTGCGTTTATAGGTTCTGAGCGGAGCGAGGAATATATTGGTTTTACAATGACGTTTATTTCTTGTTATTTTATTATTAAAATCATAAAAAACATTTTTTTAAATACATTAGCATTACATTTGAGAAGGATTAATTAATTTACCTCCTATAACTTTATGCAGATTGTGTTGGAGATATGGAGCTATCATTTCAGCTAAATATGATAAATAATGACATAATATAAATATATATTAATTTTAATATTAAAAACTACGAATTTAATCAATCTACAATATTACAAACAAAAATATTCTTAAAAAAGAAATAAAGTCTTATTTTATATAGAACAATGCGTTAGTACCTAATAAATAATAATAAACATTTCACATCGAATTATATTCCTAATATAATGTTTGGTAAATAAACGTTCAAACATATTATTTTTTGACACAACGTTCTGTATATAGTTAACACAATATATGTTTAGAGTTTCACGTAGTTCCACCCATATTGACAAAAAATAAACGCTCTTGTTGTTTTCAACTTGCCAAGACACTTTGTGTTTTGTTATAACTTATAAATCATTAACAAGATCGGGTGGACTTGGCAAACGAATTGTTTACGTACTTCACTTGCATAGTAACCGCCAACCGGCCAAAAACGTATTCACGCGTATCGTCCGCAAATCACTTTTCTGTCCAAAACGAAAACTCAAGACCGTTTAACACATTCCTTTTATTTAGAATAGCATTTGTTCTTATACATCAATTGTGTATTTTGGTAAAGTCAGTCGTAAAACTTTCAACAGCCAAAGTGAATTTTAATTATCCAAAAAATACAATGATTATTCAAAGAAAACGTATTAAATACTTGGCCTTAATTTTAAAATGTACTGTTAAGTATATCATATAGTTTACAAATAATAAGGTAATTAAATAATTCACTAGTTTGTTATTCTTGTTTACGGATATAAACCTAAAATACAAAATAATAACAATATTATACTCGGTTTTGGATTATATTCCCTAATGGCTTTCCATGAAAATTAAATTATGTAAATTATCTAATATTATTTGTTATTTATAATTGTTTGCTTTAAGTATCTAACAGTTAATAAAAAAAATTTTAAAAATTAAAGCAAATAATTTAAATTTTTTATTTAATAGTAATACTGATCTAAACATATTTAAAACGATTTGAAATTCATTGTATGATATCCAACTCGGGTGTGTGAATTACACATTACACACCGTATGAATTATCAACGAATTTTTTCTCCTCATTAGGTATGTATTAAATAAAATTGTGAATCGATAATGGTGATTATATCTTAGAAAGTTGCCTATAAGCATTTGTCTTATCTAATTCAAGTTTAAGAAATATTTTTTAAAAATGGTAAATAATAATAGGTTCACGCTTTTATGATATTTACAGCAAAATGTTTTTTTAWTCGTAATTAAATTAACAAAATACATTTTCAAGCATCGGCTAAAAGAATACATATGAATACATAAACTAAGTTTTAGATTTTTGCGGTAAGCCAATACTAAAACGTTGAGAAACTCTGCGTATACTTTAAGGGGTTCTCATAGACAAAAAGTTTCACGCACTAAATATTAATACTACGTTGAATGAATAAATCATTCTTCGAGGTAAAATATTTCTGGATATTCAAATACGTGAAGTGTCGGCGATGAAAAAGTTTTAAACATCACAAATAAAATGCATTAAAATGCAATGCAAATTTAAAGAACTTAAATTTGTTTCATTAAAACAGAACTTTTAAGCGATTCATTTAAAATAATTTTTAGAAAAAAAAACTAAAAAATACTACATCCATGCAATACTACATCAAGGATATTTTCGTACTAAATTATATTTATATTGTTATTTAATAGGCCTATCCATATGTAATTTAAGTTTTAAAATTAATTATATCTTTTACAATAAATATTATTGATATTTTACATAATACAAAATTGTCAATAAATCAATTATTKTTATGTATTTTATCATTAAATTCATAATATATTTGTTCTATATTTTTATCAAAAATAAACTCATTAATTTTAATAAATGTATGCAATATTATACAAATATAACACAATTTAGCTTATCACTCTTCAAATTATACACATATAATTCTGAAATATACATTGACAATTTTCTTTGCATACAAAACTTACCTATTCGACAAATTAAAAAATAAATTATTGCATATTTTACAAAAAATTTCACTATTCGACAATTATTTTCAYACCCAGCTTTAAAAATACCTTTCATTTTTCAATAATGGTAAATCCTTATAGCTAGCAACGTCTAAAACAATATTTTAATAAAGGTAAAACTCTTACCCATTCTTAATAATAATATTACTTACCATTAAAAGTATAATTTTTTTCCAAATAACAATAAGTAAATAACTAATTAAAAACAAAGTTTCATCAACGTGATTTGGTGAGTGGCTATTTTCTTTAAATTATTCAAATCCTACAAAATGTTTTTATAATACATTAAATATACGCCCATTGTTCTTGTATCGTACCATTTTATCTTGTATTGTATAAAATAAACTAAAACAAAAGGAATTCAATCGTACTGTGAAGTATAAGAACGGTTCACATAATTGTTTATGTATTAAAAATTGTTTATCTCTGCAATGAAAAATAATAAATTTAGATAATTAAAATATAAAAAACAAAAGATAGATACTTACTACAGTAAATTTCTGATTGCATAGTTAAAGATAGAATATTATAATGATACAGCTAAACAAATTCTTTCTTTTTAAGTTTCACTAAAACGTAGCTGATGCCGTGACTTGTTAGTCGATTAATCGACTAACCACCACTACCCATGCCATGAAGTACTATTATTGAATAGTTTGTTCAATCAACCCTCTTATGTGTCCTTATTGTACAAATATTTTATACAAATTGTAGAAATTAAAATAAATATTACAATAAAAAAAAAACCTGTGTCACTATATAAGGATAATAAATTAATACTTTGGGTTAGAACTGTACGCCATTGGATATTTTTTTTTAATGGCGGTATGCTATATTATTGAGTTATTAATATATTTAAATTTTGATGAATCTGATATACAAAATACTACAATGTTTTCAAATAATATATTTATACGGTTTTATTATAGTATAACAAATTAAACAATTTTATAACTTTGCTTTATCATCAAATTTACCATTTTCAGAGATTTTTAAATAAACTATTGAGAATTTCTATAAATTTGTCTCTTTTAAAGTGTTACTTTTTTTAATTCCAAACTTAAACACGTTTGATATCTACTAAATTTACTGAGCATTTTAGCTATCTTAAATACTGTTTTGGAAAATAAACTTCATAAAAAAATTGTAAATCAAATCTTCTTCGTTTCCTTTGGAAACAAAAAAAAAAACCACTGCAATATCGATCGACCAATATTAAAATTCATGAAAAGGAGACGATTGGGTAGGTGATTGGTTTGTGTGTTCGATTTCAATTGATAATGTATACGGGTATATATTATTGTATAAAAGCAGTAGCTCATGTTGTGTTTGAACGATCTCTATAAATAATTAATTACACTTTCATATAATATTGTGTATAATAATTAATAAGTATATTGTATGTAATATGAAGCGTTTCGTAACTTTTATATCACMAGAGTTTGACGATAAGAGCTCAGAGCAGACACTGAGTACTGAGTAGTGAATCGATTTTTAACGGATAAGATACATATAGCTGAACGTTTACTAACATTAATAAATATACAAATAAAAACCCATAATAATATATTATACGTCACGTGACGACATAAACCCTTAAAAAAATATTATGACATATGCAATATATTATACTGAAACAGATACGCGTCAATGACAAGTATTATTATGAGGGCTCGTAAGTTTATGTATTTACATATCAATCTTGTCAAGTCGTGTTAAAAGTTATCGGGTAACATAGACATTTGCTATAAGGTGGCATTCAATAAATTTAATTAAATTTTTCATATAATTACATATTTAAAGGTCTTTGGCTTATTTGACTTACTTATATAGCCTCGCTAAAATTAAAATATTTTTACTGCATATTTTATCATTTTTAAGATCATATCGGAACATGTTCAACTACTCAAGCAGTTTTTAGTGAATGCATTTGGGAGAACTGGGTATTATTATTATAGTCGTTATTTAATTTAAAAATATATTTATGTATATATTTCATATAATATATAAAGATTAAAGATATATATATTTAATCAGGTTATCTATGTATGGTTTTGTATGAAATATCAAAATTTTGCACATTACTAATACCAATTTAATACCATACGATGGACATGGGACTGGTCGACTTGGAGTCTGCTTACCGAGACGTGAACGTCGTCATCGCAAAGCCGATAGCGGAAAACGGGAGAGAAGACCAGTTGATGGTGGAACCCGTTGTCAACGTTGAGTGGCGGAACGGTGACGATAAAACATCGTCAGAAATACAAAAAGACATCAAATCCAACCTAAAGGGTGATATGCTCAATGTGGCTTTGCTTATAGTGCTATACATGTTGCAAGGTATACCGATAGGAATTTCCTTGGCCATTAGGACGTACATGCAGAATAGAAAAGTATCGTACGTTCAACAGGTATGCATTTAACTATAATTATATTAAAGTAAAAAAATGAAAATCGGGAAACCTATGTTTAACCGGTAAGACGTCTTATTAGAGTCAGTTTTTCAAAATTTTACCTATTTTGAGGGGCTGAATGGTGTACTATCGTTGGTAATCTAATATATGGTGATTTATAACTAATTTATTTTACTGACCAGTGGAGTTTAAATCTTGCTGTTTTTAATTATGTAAAATTGTAAATACTTTAGGTTTTACACAGTGATTAGAACCACCTGTTATTTATTCAAGTGGGAGTAGGATGCATTTTTATGTTCACAGTGCGTTTTCTCACTGTAACTCCAAGCCCAATGCGGAATGTTCCCCTCAGAGGCAGACTTTACCGTATAACATATCACGGATATTACGCACTCATTGGCTACCTATTTTCCGCTTACACAAAAATATTTACCATATCACATTTTTTTCAAATTTTTTTTGAACGATAAATAGGTGAACAATGAGTGGGTACCTAATCTCCGTGATGCGTGTGATACAATAAATCGGTGTCCTCTGAGGGAAACATTCCCACTTGGACTTGGGCATAGTGTATAGTAATTACTATGGAAAAAATACTGGAAACATATACAAATGCAAACTATAGTAGCGAGACTATTTCCTACGAATATAATGGTYGCTGAAAATGATATTCATTCAATGATACAAATCCGATTTTTGTATTCTATATGTAGGCAAAGTTCAGTGTGGTTGACTTACCGTACAGTTTGAAACTATTATGGGCTCCTTTGGTGGACGTCGTTTACTCACGACGTATGGGCAAACGGAAGTCGTGGCTGGTACCGGTGCAGTTTTGTATAGGTACCTATATGTTGAAATTACCTGTACCTACACAGCTACAAGACAGTATCTCGAGTTTAAGTTTCTGAATAACAATGATATTGACTAAAATACGCGAATATTGTATGCAGGACTGTCGCTGATATTCATAGCATCGAATATAAACAACTGGTTGATGGAAAACGATACATATATGACAACGTTGACGTACGTGTTTTTTTGCGTAAACGCTTTGGCCGCAACCAATGACATCACCATCGATGGGTGGTCGCTCACTTTACTGAGAAGGTACACGTATGCGATAAATTATTATTATCAATAATGTATTTTTATGATGACTGAAACACACACACACACACACACACTAAACACGCGTACATTATAGATGACGGAGATCAGTACTAGCTAACTGTACCCTTTCGCTGTGGTTATATTGTAAACTTAGACATTTTTTTATCGATTAACTATACACATAGACTTCCTCACACTCTGCACAATAATTTGAACCAAATAATATTACAGTGCTTTTGGTTTGAAAATTGTATAATTTTTTTGAGCTTGTAGGGAGAACGTAGGATACGCATCAACGTGCAATACGTCTGGTCAAGCATTGGGAATAGCGTTTGGGTATGTAATGTTCATATTGTTTGAGTCCGAGGAATTTTGCAACAAGTGGCTACGTTTTACAGCCCAAAAAGGAGGCATGATTTCGATGGAAGGTAACTCGTTCATACGTAATACATTTTTAGGTACCTTATGAGTTAAATACAATTATATTAAAATTGTATACTATCATTTATGAAAACACCATCGTTTACGGATAATATACCTATCAGGCATATTACAAACAATATAATTAATATTTTTTTAAATGKATAAACTTATGTACCTACTCTGTGTTTGAGATCTCGTTCCCTGTAATTGTTTTGCACGTGATTTTGCGCGTTTTGTATAGCCCTCGTGCCATATGATTAGACATTGCTTGGATTTTCAYCACTTATAAAGCGAGTAGTAAAAGTTTAGAAACATTTTATTCGAAATCCAACAACGTTCGGGTACAAATAGTCACAACATTTAGACAGTAAACACGTAAAATAAAATGTATCTTATATTGTAATTTATACCATACTTTAACTTAGAAATTCAGAGAGCGTACAATAACATAAATATATACTAAACACGCGTACTGTTTTTGAATAATTTTAAGAAAAAAGCTAGACAAAAATAAATATTTTTATGTTTATAAATTTAATCTAATGACCATCATACTCGTACTTTTAAATTATATCAAATTGTAAATAATTGTTGGGAAATAATTAACTGTAAAACCCGTTAAGAACCAACCCACTCGGGGCGTCTCCTGAGAATCGCTAATATAGGCTTAAAAATTAAAATAGTAAAAAAAAGTTTAAAAAGTTTTATCCTAACGTAGTGTTTTTTCAAAAATATAATATATCTAAACGTTTTCTTAATCATAAAAATTCAAGATCATATAAAAGCTCTAGCAGAAAATTTCCATAGTTCACTCCAAAAATCAACTGGCTCAATACACTTCAACTTACACATACGTCCACCACCTCAAAGACGACTAAAACGCGGTCGCCCGCACRATCTTATTCGATAATRGTATTAAATAACTAGTCACTGCTGTAATTATCGCTCTTAATTTTAATTKTAAATACTTATATCATGTTAAAATTAGTCAAAAAAAAAAAATTATGTTATTTATCCATAGATGTAGATAGCCTTATAGGCTAGGAATGTCTTATTGTAAAATAAAAAAAAATAAAAATAAAGTTTTCTTAATTTTTGGCGTCTGAAAAAAATGTGAACTTACACATGAAGTGTACCTATCAATAGTATCAATAACCAAACGTTCACCCAATTGTTACCAGGCAACAAATATCGTTAGTMTCAAACGTGTTGTGGCCAATTGCCAATAAAAAAGCACTGCACAATTATTAATTTCTTACAGGATATTTATACTTCTGGGGAATAATATTCACTGTGGCCTCTACGTCTATCGCGTTTTTCGTTAAAGACAGATATAATCAAGCGGACAAAATTAGTCAAATCAATATTAATCAAATTTATAAATTGCTATGGAAGATCATAAACCTTCGGACGATGAAAATATTCACCCTAGTTATGCTAGCGTATGAAGTAATATATTATTATTTATTTATAAACATTTTTCTAATAKTATATGAAAATATATATTTTAACATTATATAATATATAGTAATTAGGTGACTGTTAATTTGTATTTTCATATATTTAAAGCACTAAAGAACCGATTTGGTTTTTATGATTGAAATATTATCATTTTAGATGTCATTTTCGTCCATGGGATCGTTCGTGTCCAACCCAAAATTTATGGAGTATGGCGTGGCTAAAGAAGAGATGGCTCTAGTTGACCTATCATTAATTCCGATAAAGATTTTTATTCCTATTCTTATTTCTAAATATACATCTGGACCGAGACCGTTAAAAATACTTTACAAGACTGTGCCATACAGGTAATTATTAAATAATAGTTCTTGGATAACAACTTATACCTACATAATAAAAATCATAAGGTTTTTCAAAAAATTCTCTCATAAAAATGTCATAGTTTTTTATGAACGACCTTTAGCGTTCAGTATATTGATATATATATATATATATTATTTATATCATATTATTATATTATCCTACTACGTATATCTCTATGCACCTATTATTATTATTTTTTTTTGTAGGTTAGTGTTGGGAATTTCTTCCGGAGTCCTTGTGTACTATACTCCGTATTTCATAGGTGGCGAATACCATAACTGGACAGTTTACTTTTTCCTGATTTACGAACTCCATCGTATTTTGAGACTGGTAAAGAATATATTACGTATTATCAATAGGTAAGTTATAATAATCTGTTTATTTCGCGTCCACAGGTGTTGTTGGTTGTCGTTTACCTGAGTGTTAGGTCGTTTTTCTTACAAATCAGTGACCCTCGAATTGGTGGTACGTACATGTCACTGTTGAATACTGTTTGGTATTTAGGAATAGCTGTATCTCGAATTACAGCTCTGGGAATGCTCAACTTGCTGACGATCAAACAATGTTCGGCTGACCGGGTGAACGAGTGTCGTTTCAAAACAGCKAATGATGAAGTAAATAAAATATTTATACTAATTCCTTACCACACGACATTTATTTATTTAAAAGAAAAATTAGACTAATTTTTACGAGCATATCCTTTTCCGAAGATTTTAGGTGCATTTATATTTTTAAGAAGACACTTCGTGATTTTTTAGTGTATATCTGAGTAAAGACAGATCATATAATGACTATTCTTATGGTCGGCGACACTAACCTAGTTGTTTTATCGCGCRTCAATGATCATCGCTTGAATTCTTTTTTTATTATAAAGCTATAGGTGAAATTAGGGGGTGGGGTGGCTGCCGATTATCATAATGGTGAAAATAATTAGCATGTTTTTTGAATATGAAATTTACAGTGAAACTGTAGGGTTTAGTTTGAGAACTCATGATTGGAGAAGGGAATTCTAACGTAACATTATGTTYGGTAACTTTTACGTAAATTTACGTAAACGTGAAATGAGTGGTCACTCAATTTTAGAATAGTAAAAAAATTATCGATAAAGTTTACCAGGTAAATGTACCAATGGGGTAAGTAGTGTGTCGCACAAGCTAACAATTCGCCCCTGTCGATCGGTGGAAAAAAAAAAAAGGTAAATGTACCAAGTTTCCACTTTAGAACATAATGATAAGGTGCGTGGATCATGGGCCAAAATGTTCGTGTCACCACTCACCGACTGTTTTAGCTAAAAATTAAAATGCTGAAAAATTWTGCTTAATATTTGTCATATATTATATACCCGGTATCATGTTAACGTCAAAAGTACCAATCATACCTATCTATTACATATACTATATTATGTGAATATATGAATGTCTAATTGCTACTATTTCAGACTATATTAGATAGGACAGGCAGGCCCTGATTTAATAAAATTAGGGCCAAGTGCACAATTTTTTTGGAAATTAAAACAAATTTATAAAYCACRGTACTGATAATTATTATAMWATTATGAAAATATGAAATAACGGCCAAAGCATATTCATAATAATAAAATAACAAGATAATAATATTGTCATAAAATAAATAATATATTATGGTAAAGCGATCAGTGACGTGCGGGCACAACGCCAACATGTACGACAACATTGGACAACAATAACTATATTAGTTTATTTATAATTATAACATTTAATTAATGTTTTTCGCTTTTCATTTATCTTGGATAACTGAATAACCTAAACTAATGGTTCTAAAAATGGTAATATTGTAGGAGCGAAATGCATCACCAACGACGGGTAATAAGTAAATACTGGGCTGGAAGAAATCTATAAATAGTTATTACTTATTATGTATCAAATATTTCCGATGTTCAAACAATTTTCTATTATTATTATTTTAATATGTTGTATTGAGGTGTGGAATGACTTRTACTASTATAAGGTCTATGGRAATTATAATTAATTTAAAAAAAAATTTTAATACAGACAATTTTTTACAATTCACGGAGATCGGGGGCCCCCAAAAATTGAGKGGCCAAGTGCAAGTGCTCCATCTGCATTTGCGTAAATCAGGGCCTGAGRACAGGTAGGTGCTTACTTAAATGTGTTAACAGTGTCAAGTGCGTTTCTATTTTATGATATCATTAAAAAAATAAAAACTAATTTTAACGATTAATTATACAATTACTAATTAATAATATTTTTTATACCGGCATAACATGTTTACTACAACATCAAATCATCAAAAGAAAAGACATTTATGACAACCGTCAAAGAATTAAAATTGGATATTTAGGAAATTTACTTACGATTTTATTTGTTAATTATTTACGTGTACTTATAATAATGAATATGCTACAACCATTTGTAAAAAATATATGGCTATATAATTTGTATTTGATTTTATTACGAAAAAAAAGTCTAATTAGAACTACGTGGGTGGTTAATAGGTTATAGCGTGGCAATACATAAATTATTGTAAACGGTCCGTATAATGGCGATGCSATATACCTAGGTATCCTCGGTAACAAACAAGGATCATTTTAAACTTGTATTTATGCTAAGTAGGTAATTAAGCTAAAGAGTAAAAAGATAATTAASTATGATAATTGTTTAAATTAAATTAAATTAGCCTATTTATAGTTAGCTAATTTGTTTAAACTAATAAAATACTGAACACCACATTTTAGTGCAATATAGATTTTTAAATAAAGATTTTTTGATACAAATAATGTATTTATGTATTCATATTAAACATAAACAAAATTATAAATATATATTATATTATGTACTGTAGGTACTAAATAATGAGAAACAACAAAAAAACTAATATGAAACATTTTTTCTTAATTTTGTTAAAATAATAAATTCTTAAGTATAACATATTTTAAGTTTTTTTGCAGAAATTATACATGCATAAAAGTTTTTTTTTAATAAGAAACATACACATTTTCCAAATTCAACAAAATATGCAAAATTATACATTTTGAAATTCTATTTTTAAAGTTTTTCATTTATCATTATGACATAATAATAAATAATATRCATTTTTATGAAACATTGTATTAATAACTTGTACTCTGCTATAAATCGAAAGTATAAAATTATTGGAGTTATAGAAAACAAAATAATGATAATCTGAAGTCAACATTTTCAATTCTGAGTGCAAGAACAATGACCTGCTTGGATTTAGGTTTTCTATAAACAATATGATATATAAGAAGATTACCCATGTCTGACATTAGTGATATTAATTCGTACTAAATAACAATTATAATTAGTTTTGTTCTTTTTTTAATAAAAAAAAAAATGCACATAACATTTTACTTGGAGAATGACGATACGTGAAATCGRATGGTTAAACATTAGCGTGATATGTGCTAAACTCTAAACTATATTAATTTATGAATTCCTGCAGTTTCAGTATGKAGATTCAACTTAAGGTGCAAGCAAAACACTTTACTGTGGCATTTTCAATAATATTGTGATTTAGTGGGTTAAGAAGTATAAGTCAAAAATAGTCAAAAATTAAAATAGTGCTTCATGCGACTACGTGCGATGGCCGTGAAGCAGATGAATTAAATTTCTATCTTTCCATGAAGTCAAATTAAATCGGGGGAAATAGTGTATCAATAGCCAAAATCCCGAATCGATCATGTCCCAAGATATTTCCAAACCGACCAAACCTACTATTAWCCAACCAAAAAACTTCCACGATATTAAACCAAAACATTAGGCGTAGGAACCGATCCCGTAGCTCTACGTGATAAGTAAGTGCAAACATTTGCAGGGTTGAGGTCAAAACCAATTTTTTCCAAAAATGTATGGTGTGACACCCAACTGTGTTTCTGTCACTCGTGACTATATCAATTTTATTTGAATAGCCTCCGTAAGGGAGGAAACTTTTCTGTTTACCAGAAACAATTTTTGCGCTTTAACGTACGTATGTATATGTTAAATAGTTATATATTGTTTGAATTTTTAATATATTCGTATTTCCAAATAGGTTCAACCGTCGTGGTCACTCGCTAAGATAATTAAAATCAAAAACATCCCACGACTTGTTATGTAAAACGTCCTTGGGCAGGACTTCAAATGAGTAACTATAATTTCAAAACAAAGTCCACCTAATTCTGACTTC